TGTAACAAGGACACCTTAAAATAAAGTGTAACCAATGTTTTTTTGAAAGAAGTCACCAAGAGTGCTTTTATTTGATCAAAAAAACGGTAATATTGTGAAATATTATTACAATTTAAAATAACTGTTTTCTATTTGAATATTCGGTGAAATGTAATTTATTTCTGTGATCCAAAGCTGAATTTTCAGCATCATTACTCCAGTCTTCAGTGTCATATGATCTTTCAGAAATCATTCTAATATGCCGATTTGCTGAGCAAGAATCATTTCTAATCTTTATCAATGGTGAAAACAGTTCTGCTGCTTAATATTTTTGTGGAAATATATTTACACTATGCTGAAGCGATACACTTACATATATGGTGTGACCCGGTGAGCTAGGTATGCTTGAACCAGGTCTGGAACATATACTCTCGGACGACGAGCGTGTCGGCTGTGGAACAAGCACAGTTTTAGAACCAACAACCTATGAATAACATAAGCAATAAATAAAAACATCTGCATTAGCATTTTCCGCTAAACCACTGGATGTTCACCACTGACGTGATTATTCAGTAAACCTGATAAATGTTGCATTAGCCTTTACCAGAAGAGTTGTTTTACTGTGCATCACATGAGCCTAATGTAGTCTAACTTTTATACGTCAACACATTTTGTGACTGCTTGCACATGGCTGTAAAGAGATACATTATGGCATATTAAAATATTCATGACCTACTGGCCAATCATGCTGCAGAAAATCAATCAGCTGATCAAGACTAAGACTCATCATAAACAACAAAGAATGCACAACAAATCTAAAACGAGTGCGAGGAAAATATATAAAAAATACATAAATAAATCCTTCTTAGCATCAAAATATACATGTTGTAATATATATAACATATTCAAATATAAATGTAAGAAAACTTTAACCTGTAAACAATGATATATTGTGACGGATTATGACTAAATAATGACAGCATCCTGGAAACAAACCTAAAAGAAATCATTCATTTGCCTTCCACACAATGAATGAGACTCATCGATGGCAATTTCATGTTTCCGATGGCAGGAAATGCTTGAGGATCAAAATGCAAGTACATCTGATATTACTCAGCATATTGAAATGCTGAAATGCTGAAATGCACCATGCGTGATTACAGCAGCTTAGCTTGATTTGAGGCCTGTTTGGCACAATAACAGAGGAACTGGGCAAAAACTCTCTGTTCCGTAGCACTAGCGTCTGTGAGATGGACCAAACCAGATGTTAATGATGGTTTATGGCTAAAACTGAGAGCAGGCGGTCTGAGCACGGCAGAGTAGCTGCCAGTCAGGAGCACAGCAGCCTGCCGCCTCCAGGGGCCAGCACATGGTCATGCGATGCCATGGCGCAGCTAACAGCGAGTACAGTACCTGCCTTTCTGTTTTGCTGAGGAGAGCTAGAGACGCAGGCAATAGCTGTGGAGGAAGACACAGGGGTTTGGTTGGACATCACACAAGATTGTGAACCACAGTCTATTAGGGATGTCCCCGGAATGATTGTTTAAGCGACAAGTCTACTAAAAACAGCCAGAAGGAGAAAGTACAACCTCACAGCTAACAATAATATCTGTTTACTTTCAGAAAAGTGTTAGTAGAGAAGAACGTACAGAGAGCAAAAACACAGGACACACATGTAAACACTGAATGACATGGAAAGGACCGTACCCGCTGTGTCTCCTCGCCTCTGGGTGAATGTTTACAGCTTGGATGCCAAACTGTTGATCCTGCATAAACAGTAAAAACAGATGGTAAAAAATAATTAAGTCATGTCAATTGGGTCTCTTTTTGACAAAGCATCTGACCTTTTTGTGGCGTTTCTTCAGTCATTCTGCTAAAATGTCATAAAAAATAACTAGCCTATATTGTGAGAAATTAATTGTTTTAATCAGCAAAGATGCATTAAATTGATCGAAAGTGGCAGGAAAGACATATAATTTGTATTATTTCACAAAAGATTTCCATTTCAAATGCACTGGAGTAAACTACGACTTTTAAGTCGAAACGTAGTGTCCTTTAATTTACACTTTAAATTCTAATAACACTTCACAATATTATAGTTTTAACTGCATTTTTGATCAAATAAATGCATCCTAAAATAGCATAAGATACATCTTTCAAAAACATTTAAAAAATCAAACCCAAACTTTTGAATGCTACAGTGTATCGCTGCCTGCCGCCATGCTATAGATAGCATACATAAGACAATACAATACAATATAAATAAATAGAAAATACATACATCTAAATTAAAAATAGCTCTTTAGTCCCAGGCATTCAAGATTTATTTTTCAAAATCCATGTACTCAGCTAAAATGATCCAGAGAAACTAGACAACAAAAACCTCACTGTAAACCAAACCACTGTCAGTTTATTATTTGAATTATAAAAAATGTATTTATTTGATTAAACATAGTCCAGCAATTAAATAGCTAAAAATAATAATAATACAAAACAAATACACTTAATTTAAATGACTCTGACATTAATTAAATATTGACATCAAAAAGATCAAATTCATGTGTTAAAAAAGCTCAGTCCACCGTAGCAAACTCGGACCAGTCAAATCCAGAGCCACATGTCAAGCACAGCTCTGATGAAACTTTCTACAATTATTTACAGTGAATTTACATGATTACTTCATAATAGTGCTGGTCACAATAGTTGACCAGGCCTGTTAAATCATAAAAAAAAAGTCTTTTGAGATTCTGTTTTAGTAAAATGACAAAGGTTCAAGCATTCTGCAGAATAAATGTATATTATATGTGGCATCTGTAAAGGGTGAGACTCACCCTGCAGGTACATCTCCTCTCCTTCAGTAAACATCTGGTTACACCTGCTACAGCGAGCACAGCTGGGGTGGTAGTGCTTGCCCCCTGCCTGTGGAGAAACACACGCTCAAAGTTAAACTGTATAACAGCTATTACAGAGAACTCAAACAGACTGTTATAGAGAAGCTGATATTTTGCATGTGTATCATGTGAGACGACACATATTTTATTCAAATGACCAGAACCAGCAAGCTTATCAAATAGAATACAGAAATGTTCTGTGTTCGCAGACTCTCTTTAAAGAGTTGAAATCATCTGAAACCTTTTGTTTTCAAAATGAAGTTGTAAATAAAACAAAGACTACTGGACAGTTTTCTTCTAAAATACAGTTTTCTTCTTCAAAATTTCACATTTAATTCAATGCTTAATTTAACAATTTAATGATTAATGCACAATCAAGGATTATTTCATGTTTAATTCACATGCTGCTTCTGTAATTATTTGTTAAATTTACTAGTCATTTTAACATTGTTTACAATTATGTAATTTATTTTTACATTCATAAACAACAACCAGTCTTGAGAGAGACTTACAGGTCCTGTGCGGTATCTTGTGAAACTACTCAAAGTAATTTATACAAAGTCCCTTTCACTCCTGAGCAGCGATGCACAAACACATTCCATTACAACAAACAGGAAAACAGTCACAAGTGTGATGAGAAAAAGCAACTGTCTCTCTCACAGCCAATCAGATTCAATTAACTGGATGAAACTTCCTGTTGCAATACTGTGGAGTCTGCTGTGAGCCTGTTGTGAAACTCTAGACGGTTATATGCGAGAGATCAGAAGTGCTTAAATTGTTTTTATGCTGCAGATTTGTGTCGCAATCAGTGTGTTTTGTTGTGGGACATACAGGAGTATGATTTGTGCGGTCAAGTGATAAATATACTGTTCATCTAAAAACAGCGATTCGTTAACGGTGGGTTAGGATTCCAAAATGGGTCACAGGTCTGTTCTGAAAAATCTTGATAAGAAAAATAAGGACTACATTAAATACATAGATAAACATAGTTTGTGCTGACCAGAACGTTTATACGTCCCTTAATTCGTTGACTAATGTTAGATTTGTTTTATAAAGTGTACTGTGTTGGGTTGTCACTTGATGGCTCATTCGATGAATGCAATTTTCTTTCCTGTGTTGACACATTTCCTATTCAAACAGGAAGTTGGACATATTCTGACAGGGTGCTGAAGTGTCTAAATGTTAGGCTATCAAATTATTCGCTTAAGATTTTAAGCTACTTTCTGCTTCATGTTAATGCGTTAGATTGGGTGCAGGTCAGGGTCAGAAATGAACTTTTCTATTAAGAAAAGAACTTCCATGACGTTAATAGACGTACATTCTGATTTCAGTAAATTGCATTCATTTACTCAACAGAAACATGCGTGACTGGTTATAACGCTCAACACTGCAACAATGCATTAAAAGACAACTGATGCAACAAGAGCAGATCTCAATTTAATGCTGCAATCGACACTTTGCATTTCATTTTCGACTTTATCTGCGACAGCCGAAATAGATTTGGTTTAATTGTGAAGGAGCATTTTTTTTTTTGCTCCTCTTTTTTTTTTGTGTATTTTGTGGTGCATTTGTTTCCTCAAGCCTCCGTTAATGTCCCTACAAAGAAATTGCACCAATATTTTTAGAGCATTTTCTAGAAAAAGAAACTGATAGAAACTGTTTGTTTTAAATGTGTGTATATCTGTGCATTATGTTCACTGAAAAAAAAGGTGTATACAATATTTTCACTCATAAATGGCTAGTACATTTCACAAAGAAACAGCAAGTAACACATTGAATTAAACATGACATTTTGAAGAAAGCCCTAAATAGTGTTTTTTTTTTGGTAATACATACTCCAGTAATGTTTCATTTACAACTTCAAAAACTGATTTTTTTTTACACTGTAGATGACCTCAAAGCCAGTGTTATTTTAGTATTATTTATATAATATTATAACACTTATCATTATTGAATTTGTTTTTATTTTTATATTTGCAATGTGCATTTCCAGTTTTAGTTTTAGCTGCCAAGTTTTTCATTTAATATCATTTCAAATATTATTTTATTTCACTTATAAAAAACTATTTTAATAGCTTTAGTTAACAATAACAACACTGCTCAAAGAAAAAAACTAAAAGCCACAAAAAAAGTATTTCAAGGTGTCAGTTTGTTATCAGTTCAGACCTGTGTGTGTGTGTGTGTGTGTGTGTGTGTGTTTCTGTACCTCCAGGACTTTCCCGGTGATGAACTGCTGACATGCTTCACACTGCACTCCAAACAAGACCTGATAATCGCGCTCACAGTAGGGGGCACCATCTCTGCACACATACAGAAAACAAACCAATGCATAACCGTCATCCATCATTTTGGATGAAATTGATGGATTTTGTGTATAAATGTGTCTTACTTGCTGATGTATTCTCCAGTCAATACTTTGGCACAGGCCTTACATTTAAAACAGCCCAAATGCCACTGACTCTCTAGAGCCAACAGAGCCTGACCGTTCTTAATATCTCTGCCACAGCCCGCACAACCTGAAACACACACACACAAGAAAAACTCATCTGACACTCAGACTAACTCGACTGATGCTTTTTCCTGTTAAAAAACATCTTTGAATTCTGATGTTTCATACAAACAACTCAGGTTGGGCCATTATTTTTGTGCAAAGACATGCAAACCATTTTTTAGACTTGATCACTATGTCATGAATCAGTATTTTATGAACACAACTTTGGGATCTAGCAAGGGTCTTGATCTATTACATCAGGACACTATTGACTCACACAGTGGCCTGTATCAACAACATTGCTGCATTAACTCCATTAGTGATATTTGCCTGGTGTTTTTTTCTTAACATTTTACTTTATACATTGTAGATGAAAGAAGATCAATGGCTTTAGTAGTCGAGCTTAAAGGCTTAAGTGGAAATTAATATTATTTATTTATTATAGTAGGTGGATCCTGGCCAAAAAGCCCCCAAACGCACGGAAAAGGGAACAAAGGGAGATGGAGGGTCTGAATAATTTACCGTTTCACATGTATATCCATGCCAGAGGATCTCTAAGTGGCTTTACAGGATTTTATACAATCACTTTCTTTCCCATTAAGCTACTGTGTGGATACTTTTACTATAGTTAATGTACGCTGACGGTATGTTTTATTTCTTTAATAAGTTTAAATATGCATTAAAGGGATAGTTTTTATACTGTTAAGAAGAAGAAGGTGGCGCCTCACACGCAGGCTGAAGAAGACGCGAACGCGCTCAGGACAGTTCAAACATTGTGGGGAAACTCAGAGGTAAAAAACAATATAAATACTGTTCAGTTTCTTGCACAGACCGATCGTTTTGTGTCTTTACACATCAATGTATCGTCACGAGACACAGGGTTTAGTTTGGTTTTGTTTATGTATGTTTTATGACTCTCAAAGCCGTGATTCCCATCCACTGACATTATACGACTGACAGACTGCAACGGTTTGAGTTAAAAATCTCCATTTGTGTTCTACTGAAGAAACAAAGTCACCTACATCTTGGATGCCCTTGGGGTAAGCAGATAAACATCAAATTTTCATTTTTGGGTGAACTTTAAGGAAGTTGTGATTAATCTGATTTATAAAGTTTATGCATCAAAATTAAATAATTATAAATGTTAGTATGATGAAATGTGGAAACAACTTCTTTATCCCTTCTGGCTAGACACTTTTGGTTTTAAATTGAGTAAGATTTGCCTAAATAAAAAAAATAAATAAAAAAAAATAAAAAAAGATAGAATAAGGAATTAAACAAGGAGTTACACTCTGTATAAAAATTAGCCTTTTTTGCATTGTGATATTTTATTTTATGATTTCATATACTTTACTTTAGATTTTTGGTGATGGTGATTTATGGTAACAGTATTTCAACTTAAAGGGTTAGTTCACCCAAAAATGAAAATGGGCTAATTTTCATTTTTGGGTGAACTAACCCTTTAAATATCTCTAAATGTTGGAGCTAATGAATTCATAAATAATGCAACAATTCAAGGTAGCATAACAAATGATGTGTAAAAAAATGTACATTTTAAATAATATAACATTCTCACATTTCACTAATGGAAATTATCTTTTTGTTGATTTGGCTGGAAATGTGTTTAATTTCTTACTGATTTACTGTCTTTTTGATCAAATAAATGCAGCATATATGATTATATAATTATATAAAATACACGCACAAACACACACACACACACACACATATATATATATATATATATATATATATATTAAAAATAATTAAAAAATGTAAAATATATATACAATTTCAAATAATTATATTCAATATAAATATATAGTAAATGCAAGGTATTCAAAAAGTCAAAAAAGGTGCAAAAATAAAGGTAGCATAGCAAATGTATAAATACTTATTTACATATTTTACTAATGGGAATTAGCTTTTTATTAATCTGGTTGGAAATGCTTTTAATTGTCATGAATAAAACTAGTTATTTTATCTAGATTTTGGGTTGAAATATGACCCTGGCAATTTGAACTTGAGCGGTTGTGAGACAGTAACTCGTATGAAGGTTTAGATGTGCGGTTCCTGCACTCACTGCTGGGTCCCACAACATCTTTGGTGGGTCCTGGAGACATGGGCTCTGAGCAGTACTGACACAGACAGTCCTTGCCATTGAAAGTAACTCTGTCTCCAGCAGGAAATGGTCTCCTGCAGGTCAGAAAATATACGATCCCTGTTAAAACTCCTCTCAGTGTTGGACTTACCATAAACCACAATGACAATGACTGTATAATGTCCTGTGTGTGTGTGTCCATAGGCTCTTACTTGAAGATTGGTGTGTGTGTGTGAGAATGTCCATAGGCTCTTACTTGAAGATTGGTGTGTGTGTGTGTGTGTGTGTGTGTATATGAGAGTGTGTGTGTGTGAGAAAGTGTCTATATTCTCTTACTTGAAGATTGGTGTGCGTCTGTGTGTGTGTGTGTGAGAGAGAGTGTCCATAGGCTCTTACTTGAAGATTGGTGTGTGTGTGTGTGTGTATGTGTGTGTGTGTGTGTGTGTGTATGTGTGTGTATGTATGTGTGTGTGTGTGAGTGTCCATAGGCTCTTACTTGAAGAATGGTGTGTGTGTGTGTGTCCATAGGCTCTCACTTGAAGACTGGTGTGTGTGTGTGTTTGCTTGAGTGTCCATAGGCTCTTACTTGAAGATTGGTGTGTGTGTGGGTGTATGTGTGAGTGTCCATAGGCTCTTACTTGAAGATTGGTGTGTGTGTGTTTTGTGTGTCCATAGGCTCTTACTTGAAGAATGGTGTGTGTGTGTGTGTGTGTGTGAGAGTGTCCATAGGCTCTTACTTGCAGATTGTGCACACAAAGCATGTTGGGTGGTAGGTCTTGCCAAGCGCAGTCACCACCTCCCCTTCCACAAACTCTCCACAGATGTTACAGCGGGTGCTGTGGATGCGCTGGTAGTCCAGAGTGCACAGATATTCTCCATTCTTCATGAAGAATCCTCCCTGAGCCAGATCGCATCCACATACTAAAGCAAAACACAAACAAATGCATGCTTTTTATGAATTATGATCAAAATGTTACAAGGGTGTAGAATTTAGTAGGGATGCTAGGGACATGTCCCTACCGATATCCAGTGACTAGTCTCACTTTATTTGCATCTCTGATTTAAACTTCAGTAGCCAAAATGGCAGAGGAAATAAATGTGAATTTGAATAGTGTTCAGTATTGATCAAAATTGTTTACTTAAGTTCCCGTGTGGCATTTTTTGTTGCAATAAAATGTTTAATTAAAATATATGTAAGTAAATACTGCTGTTTATTACTGTATACTGATATACAGTACTGAACTATATACTGAAATTTGAAAAATATGCCCTGAATATTTTAACCAAAATATAGGTAACATATTCAAAGCATACAGAGTATTTTATTTCTTACATGAAAACTTTTGAATGCAATTGCTGTTTAGCCAAAATTATGGTTTCTATAAATTAATAAAAAGCACGCTTTTAAGCTGGTTCAGTGCACAAAGATCAAAGTACATAAATATAGAGATATATCTTAATGATGCCCACTGCATCTCTCTCTCTATATTTGTTTATTTATTTTAGCTATATAGCCCAGTCATGTTGGAGCTCAATATAACCCCAGTCCGAACTCATTTTTCAAAAATATTTTGTAAAAAAAAGTCACAAAGACTTGGAACAACAGCCGGTGAACAAATTATGACAAAAACTTGGGGGTAAACCTTGATTTTGCAAAGGATATAATGCTTTCTTTATCATGCATTTATGTTCTTGTAACAGGATAATGCAGCATAATTGGCGCACTAGAAATAGCAACTGTAAAAACAAACCTCAGTGGAGGACAATGGCCAGACCATGATCTTGAGAAAACATAATAGTCAGAAAAGAACCTTGAAATGTCTAATCTGAACCAACAGGGAATCTGAAACATATTTAGAGCTCATTGTGTTTCATTTTAAGCTCTTAAGAGCTCCTTTGGCCACTTTCTGTTTGGAGTCTGGTTTTCCAGAACACTAACACAAAAACAATACTGACGGGTAACCATCTTTCATGGCTTTCCGCACCTCATTCTGGGTCCCTGTGGGGGACTCGAGGCCGTGACTATTGCAGCGTGTGAGATTTACAGAGAGAACAAGCGAGTGGAAGTATAATAGACGTGTACAATGTGTACGTACTGTAGTATGCAGGAGAGATCTGCAGTGCTGTTATGTAACTGACTCCACTGTTTCTTATAGCCTTCTACACCATCCGCTCCGATAAAATTAGTTTATGCATTGATAAACTTCTGTGGGGCTGTATGAGGACAACTCAAACCCATGGTAGTTTCACAGATCATGTGAGAGAAATATGAATTATAAATATGCAAATTACATGTATTATTTTAATACTATAATTGAATAACATGCTATTTACTATGGAAAAGGGTATTTAATGCAACTTTAACACAAGTAAAAGGGTCTAAGAGCAAAAAAAGACTCATCCCAGCATCCCCAAGTTAACCTAAACCAAAAAACGCACAACAATATCAGTCTACTAGGGAATAAACAATATGACAGCATGTCCTTTGAAAATGTGGAAATCATCACTGAATCATTTGATCTGATGAATAAATGAATAAGAAATGGTCTCACAGACAGACACATTTCCTACAAGCTGACTTTCATCTCTGGACGACCCAGACACAAAATAATTCATTAACTCCAAGATTCAGATTTGAAACTTTTATTCATTTCATTTTGAGCTCATAGTTTTAGATTTAACTTTAAAATTACATGCATTTGCATGTGTTTAAGAAATTTAAGAATGATGTAAACATTTTCTAAATAAACTCTTAAAAATAGACATGCAATTGGAAAACTGAAATATGTTCATACATTAAAAAATATTTGAAATGTTTAAATATGTCTTTTGTTCTTCAAAAAACACTTTCTTAAAGGAATAGTTCACCCCAAAATGAACATTTTCTGAAAGTTTACTCATTCTCAGGCCATCCAAGATGAAGATGAGTTTGTTTCATCATTTGAACAGATTTGAACAGAAATAGAGTATTACATCACTTTCTCACCTCTGCAGTGAATGGGTGCCGTCAGAATGAGAGTCCAAACAGCTGATAAAAACATCATAATAATCCTCAAGTAATCCACACCACTCCAGTCCATTAATTAACATATTGTGAAGAAAAAAAAAGAAAAGATACATTTTGAATTTCCTCCCCTCTCCATAATTATGCTTTCTCCAATGAAAAAGTATCTTCTGAATAAGGAGAAAAAAATATATACAAAGATCAAGCACCATTTACAATTGAAAACAGTCCAAAACTGTTCTAAACAAATATTTTGGTGTTAGAGAATAACAGGGGATGGACTTTTTCACTGGAGAAAGCAATGTTATGGATTATGAACTTGCATTTTTGCCAGAAGAGACTGTGTAAAGTTAAAATGCCTTAATGATGTATTTGTTCTTACAAACATGCAGCTTTTCCCTTCACAAGATGTTAACTGACGGACTGGAGTTGTATGGATTACTTATGGATTATTGTAATGTTTTTATCAGCTGTTTGGACTCTCATTCTGACGGCACCCATTCACTGCAGAGGATCCATTGGAGTGATCCATTAGTGTTGTAACGCTAAATTTCTCCAAATCTGTTCTGATTATAAAAACAAACACATCGACATCTTGAATGGTCTAAAGGTGAGTCAATTTTAAGCAAATTTTCATTTTGGGTAAACTATTCCTTTAATACACATGGGTCTTATTGTACATAATTTGTCATATTATGGAAGTAAAGCAGGTTGTGTGCCTACAAACACAGAAAATAATGATCTAGTCGTCTGTATGCTGCTCTGAAGTGATTAGATGATTAGATAAGCTGATTATTATTACACAGATTTACAGTAAGGATGGCATAATCCCTGAGGGTGTTGAACACAAAGTAGATGATTAGCTCTTACACTGATTATTTGCTCAGATTACTACAGGTCATGTTCAAATTCAACTCCAGTTTCTGTGTAGTCTGATCAAAGGTTGGCACAAAAGAGTTTCAGATCTCATTCTCATTCTCACCTTGCACATTTATCATTTAAGAACTGTTAAATCCCTAGTTCAAAAATAGGCCTGCTGAGTCACTCTTTCTATATTTTCCTCAGTCAGTGTCATTTTGTCTCTGTCTGTGATTTATTTAGAGGCCAGTGAGGTCAGAGGTCAGAGAATGACATGAACTCAGTCCTGTGTGAGGAAAAAAGGGCTGGGTGAGGTATTAAATATTCAACATACTGTATATCTGAGATCTTTCTGTCTAGCTGAAGCTAAAAAGCACAACAAAACCAACAAACGACAACAAATCAGGCTGCTTTTTTAGTGCTAAAAATGACTATATATGTAATATGTTACTTTTTAAGTAAAGCAATTAAGCGATACACTACTTTTAAAAGTGTTCCCCAAAAACACCTTCAGTGTGACAGAAAGAAAGTATTTAGCCCTGTGACTGTAAAAAAAATATATATAATAAATTTTTTATATATATATATATAAAAAAAATGGCTTCCCACTGCTCCGGGTGTGTGTTCACAGTGTGTGTGTGTTCACTGCTGTGTGTGTGCACTTTGGATGGGTAAATGCAGAGCACTAATTCAGAGTATGGGTCACCATACTTGGCCACATGTCACATCACTTTCACTTAAAAAAAAAACAAAAAAACCCCCGGAAAAATGTTATGTTAAAAATATGTATATTTCAAAGTCATATGAGCCTTATGATATGAAATTAGCACTACACAATGATTTCGGTAGTCCATAAATGAATTTAAAAAAAAAACAAGTTAATAAAATATACTTATTACAGTTTTTGTTAATATAAAGATTTTAGGTTAAAATGTACATAAAACGTGTATACTGTACGTTCTAGTTTTTCATTGTATCATTCAACAACTTTCAAAATACTATAAAAAACAGCAGTACTGAGAAATAGCTTATTTCTATTTAAATATAATTTAAAATCTGATTTGATCCTGTAAGCTGAATTTTCAGCATTATTACTCCAGTCTTCAGTGTCACATCATCCTCAATAAATCATTCTAATTTGCTGATCTGATGATTAGCAATGTTGAAAGAACCGCATTTATTTAAAAGAGAAATATTTTACATTATACATTATAAATGTCTTTACTGTAATTTTTTGATCAATTTAATACATCCTTCAAAAAACAAAAAAATATATATAATAATGACTGCTTATAATTATGCTTATTATAATTACTGCTGATTAGGCTATATAAGAGTGGAGATGTTTTGTTTGTTGTGCATCAAACTTGGTAGAAACTAACCAAATTAAATGCCACCATGGGCACCAAGTGCAAAATAAAAATAAAAACAAAATTTTAAAAAAAAGTATTTTATTATAAAAAATATTTTATATGACAATTTCAGCAGTGTTTGCTTGTCCCTTTATGTATAAAAATAGAAATCCTTGGCACTTTTTAGACATTTTTATGCCAACAACCCAATACTGTAGTATCACAATATTACATATTATCAAATTACGTCTGATTTTAATTATTTAAAAGGAAAGAGCTAAATATATTCTCAAATAAATCAATAACAAAAGTCTATAAGGATATAAATCTACAAGGTCAAATCTTAAAATAATTAACTTGGTATATTTTAAAATCAAGTGTACCTGCATGTGAACTCTCAGAAAAAAAAGGTACAAAAGTTGTCACTGGGGTGGTACCTTTTCAAAAGGCACAACTTTGTACCTAAAGAGTCCATGTTGGTACCTTAAAGGTTCATATTAGTATCCAAAGTGTACATCGTAATACCTAAAATGTACAAAAGTATACCTTTTGAAAAGGTAGCGGCCCAGTGACAGCTTTTGTATACCTTTTTTTTCCTGAGAGTGTGGATGCATACAAATATACATTTTACACTTGCAGTCTTCCCTCTACAGTATTAAAACAAGAATATGAATGTTCCATTTATATTCATTAGTCAGTGCTGGAAATGAACCTAAACACTACGTCTCTGCAGA